TTTTTTCTGGGGTCGCCAGATAACGGCACAGGCCCCAGGAGGATGGAACAAATGTCACGTTGTATGTGTTTATGAAATTGTTACTAGCTAATAGTTAATGATGAAAATAGTTCAGAACGAAGGAATATTTGATTGCAAAAGCCAAATTTTATGATAAAATACAAATACACATAGATGAAAAATAAATCAAAAGACTCTCTGGCCTTGTTCAGGGAGGCCGGACCAAATGTGGAGTCGGGCCGGATCCGGCCCGCGGGCCCTAGTTTGGTGTCCACTGGTGTAGATCAAGGGTGGCCAACCAGTCAGAGACAAAGTGCCAATTTTTTTACTGTGGTACTGAAAAGAGCCACGAACACGCACACATACAAACACACACACACACACACACACACACAGACACACACACACACGCACACACCACACACACACGCACACACACACACACACACACACACACACACACACACACACACACACACTTTTTTGCCCAAAGATCGACTTTAGGAGCGACCAACCTCCCGCGTGCAAGCATATGAACACATACGCACACACACACACACACACACGCACACGCACACGCGCACACACACACACACACACACGCACACGCACACGCGCACACACACACACACACACACGCACACGCACACGCACACACACACGCACGCACGCACACGCACACACACACACGACCATGCACTCGCGCATATATGCATGCACCCACAACGAGCAACAACTGCGGCCCACGCGCTTGTTTTTATTGGCCCGCAGCAAATTCTGAAAATATAGTTGAATATGGCCCGCACATCAGTGGGGGTTCTAGATCAGTTTCACTGAGGGGGCCGGGCTGGGGCCGGGGGTTTTGATGGAGGGGCACATTCAACCCAGGGCTAAAAAGACAGATTCGAAATATTATTTGACTTTTTATTTCATCAAGCTTTGAAAGCATTGTAGTCATAACATTCCAGTGATGAGAAAAAAAACAGTATCAGGAGGGCTAAAATATCTGCAAGCGTAACAATACGCCGAGTCCATCTGTTGAGAATATTCAAGCCAGGGGTGTATATGGTACCAGCCTGCCTTGAAGCTCCTTCTCCTGTCCCCCATCAGGGTCCTGGGAAACAAGACAAACCAAATAAATGTAAACACAAGTTCTGCATGGACACAGCATATACACTAACCCGGTACACTTAGATTGCTGAGGCACTCAGACATATACAAGTGTCTAAAATGGATTGATTCATGCTATTTATTAATTGTATTAATTATGTTTTTATTGTATTCAATAAATATAAATTAATACATTCTCAAGCCTGACCAGGGACTAAAATTGCAAATACACTGAAGCTAAATGTTTTACATGCATTTAATGATCCAAATTTTAGAAGGCAATGTCTTATACAGGGTGACCCAAAAAGATGCGTACCCATGAAAATTTCAATTGTGACTTTGATTAAAAAGCTATTTATTTCAAATTAGGAAACCTGGGAGATTTAACATTACAATTATGGCAGGTTATCGAAATATAATTGAAAATGGCCACATTACATTGAATTCGATGCAATATATTAGCAAAAGTAAAGGAAAAATAAAAAATATATTTTTTTAAATAATGCAATGAAATTATTTAGGGGGGCTAAAGACATTTTTAGGGAGGCTGAAGCCTCCCTAAAATAGGCCTAATGACGCCCATGCAATGCACTACCTCACTTTACCCATAATAGCCACAAGTGCCATTGTTTATGTTGTTGTTTATGCTGTTTATATTGTTTATATCATCTATACTGTTTATACTGTTCTGTTTATACTGTTCAGATTACATATTATGTCTTTTTTATACAGTGTAGCTGCTATCCTTTCTTCGCTGTGTGTGTTTAATGCACAGCATGTTTGCATGCATATTTGCACTGAGGATTGAGAGGAAGAAATTTCATCTATGCTACATGTCATACATAAAACATATTTGACATTAAAGATGACCTTGACACCTGACAATATCATTCACATCCATGCATTCATATTGTATCATTCAATGTGTTTCAATAATGTGAAAATCATGTGAATGAGGATGACGATGTAATGATGGTCAGCAGACAAGGTTTACGTTTTAGGTGACTTTTAATAACAACGTGGCAGAGACATCAAACATGCGGTGTGCTCACATGCAGTCACTTCCTGGAACTCCCCCTTAGAGGCGGGACCTCTCAATCAACTGGAGTATGACGTACAGTCCAAACGTTCAAAAAGCACTTCTCATAGAATAATAGCCTATTATATGACAGCCGACACGACGCAGGAAGTCAGACGGACACGTTTTTTCTGATAATCTGTGTGTTTTCCTTTTTGCCCAAATGTATATTTCTATTTGAGCGAGGGTGAGGTCTGGCTTGTTTCGGCAGGCGGCATCGTGTCGCCAGAAGCACTTCCTTTTAAACACTGTGTGGCGGGCTTTTGCTGCGTCGAGGCCCCCTGGACTGAGTTGACTCCGCCTGGACTGTGTCACGCAGCCTGGACTGTGTCGACGCAGTTTAGGCTGAGCCGACGCAGTTCACGTGTTGATCATGTGATATCATGAAGCCGCACACTCACCGACACACCGATGTGTTGACGCATGCGTACAGAGCCCGACGCATGCGTCAACACATCAGCGTGGATTGCTCTGTGAGCCCGACGCATGCGTCAACACATCGGTGTCGCTGGACCCATCACTCGATTGTAGTCTCGGGTTTGTTTTCCTTCCTTGCCTTGAGTGCAAGCGCTTTTGGTTATCGTTTAGTTTCTGTGCTCCCTGGTCGTTGTTTTGACCAGCGGTTCATGTCCATACTTTGTCGGTGTGATTTTTGTATATTAAACATTTTTTGTTCTGGAGTCCTTGTCTGGAGTCTACAGTTTTTGAGATCCAAACATTGTTCGGTTTGACCGAATCGTGACAATAGTTCAACTAATCAAAGTGTCTGTCAAATTACTGCGGTCAAGCCAGCCTGCACTCGCAAAATTGAAGTCAAGTGAGCCGTCACTGCGATTGTCTGCAAAACTGTAACTAATGCACGTGCGTCAGTGGTTTGGATTTTTTTTTAATGTTATAAAGACATTTCTTGGCTGTCGAACAAAGATGAATTCACGCAGGTGAAAATTACTTATTTAAAAAAAAAAATAGTTTTTTTTTAATCCAAACAACTGACATGCATCATTAGTTGTGAAGCTTTTATTTGGAAGGTGGCCAACACCGCTCGCTGGCGGCAGATGACCATAACTTACAGCATCGGCGTCATTAGGCCTAAAAATGTCTTTAGCCCCCGTAAATAATTTCATTGCATTATTTTAAAAAAACTTTCATTTATTTTTCCTTTACTTTTGCTAATATATTGCATTCAATGTAATGTGGCCATTTTCAATTATATTTCGATTACCTGCCATTATTGTAATATTAAATCTCCTAGGTTTCCTTAACGCAACAGGTGACAAACTGTCACCATCGCCACATCAAATGCTAACGCAACAACTGACAATTCATTGCCGAAAGTCAGGTTGAGTCGACAGGATGGATATTCGACAGTTTTTTAGAAAGGTAAATTAAGTATTCAATTCATCCATGCTGGTAAAACTAGTGACTATAGTCCGCTAAAATATCTCCAGTAACAGCAGAAACTGCACTGTAACAGTTCCTGTAAGTAGCTGCTCATGTCCTTTACTGCACTACGTCGGCTTCACTCATGGCTGCGTCAAACAATGGGTCAGAAAAGACTTCACAGTCTTGCAGTCATGTCCATTGAAAAGAACACACTTGAGCAATCACAGAGTGATTGACCGATTTGACACTCTTAAAAACAGAAGGCTTTCTTTAATGCTTCCACCCACCAAGTGAATGGACAGTCTTGGAGATGGGCAGAGATGCAAAGTAACTCAGTGTAAAAGTACTCTAACTGAGTATTTTGTTTTTGAGTATTTTGTTTGAGTTGAATGACTACAGTACTTCTTTTACTACTTTTACGAAAGTCATTTTTTCAACAAGTATTTTACTTTTACTTGGGTACAATCATTTAATACTTTTTGTATTATTTTATGAGTATAAGAATTTTTAACTGTGAAGAATGGCACATTGTTATATTTTTTTAAATAATTTTTGTTGGTTATAAATGTGTGAATCTTCCATTTGTTGTTGGACAGTATTAAAGCATTCAATTTTCCTGAAAGTGGAAAGGCAATTTATTTATTCTTGATCGCTGTAAGTTAATTATTTTATTGCCCACTACATTCAACTGTACTGTGTTGACACAATAATGATACTTTATTTATATAACACCAAAATCACGGCAGACATCTCAAAATACATAGTCTTCTGGGGACTAAGCATATATTCATACATTTTGGTAGAGAGGAATATAGGCCTCCTGTCATATAGGTTATGTTATCGGGCATCCTTCTAATTCCCTTGAACAACCAAAATTGAACTTTTGAACTCTTTATAATTTCTATTATCTAGTCCAGTTAAAGTCCAGGGGAGGAAGCCCCATCATAGTAAAGAGGATACTAATGTGATGTGTGTAGTTCTTCATAGCCTCTTCATTTTGCTCTCAAAGTGCACGGAATTGATGGATTTTTAATAGAATGTAGAAAAAAATTCTCCCGGGGGGCATGCCCCCGGACTCCCCGAAAGGGGCCGTGTTCCCCTGGGGGCTAAGCCCCCCTTGTTCTTGAAACCTAGTGATGCCCCTGACTTACAGTATTGACAATTGCAGTATATTATATATATTTATATTATATTTTGCGAGTGGAGGCTGGCTTGAACTCAGTCTCAAATTGTTGACAACCCTTCAAGTCCCCCCCCCCACCAAAAAAAAAAAAAAATGCCCTCTAACCAGGAATGTCCGATTGAGATTTAAAAACCTCTGTTTCAAGGGAGCCATTGCCAAGGGGCAGCCAAGACTTAGTTTCAACACAATTAAAAATGACATTCGTGGCCAGCAAAAAGTTACAGTTTAGAATGTGGGACTCTGCAGACCGGGGGCCTCGACGGCGAAAGACGTTGGCAGTGAACTGACGGCTCCCCGTTCAGGCACCTACCCTCCAACGCAGGTCAGCCTCAAACCTGGCTGCGGTTTGTCGAGCGGAGAAGCACAGGCGCTCAGGGTGTGTCGTCTTCTTGCAGGTCACCTCAAGGACGCCGGTCGCTGTCTTGCCTTCCTGGCCGACAGCGACTACTGGACAGCTGCAGGAACAAAGAAAGACGACGGCTGGAAGACAAGAGAAAAGATTTGATGGTCCACCGATCCTCATCACGTGTTCACGTCCATCTTAGGGTTCCCTCTCGCAGGAGCGGTCACAGGACAGCCGTCATTTTCGTCCAAAATAAAACCAGCGACAAAACCAACTCTTAATAATAATAAATTTTATTTATAAGCACCTTTCAAAACACTCAAGGACACTTTACAATCAAGAACCAAAACAATAAAACCACAGATAAAATTGTAAATAAAAGAAAAGATTAATTTAAATTGAGTACGTGATTTTGAACATCTCTTTATTATTATTTATTATTTTACTGTAGCCTTGTTGAGTCATGCACGGCAAGTTGATGAGAACGGGATCGAAAGTTTGTGGAACCTTCGAAAAAAATATATCTCCAGATGGGGATTGTTACCTTTCCCAGCATAATGTTTGAACAGAGACTAATAATGACCTTTAGTGGTGGATCGCCTGTTGCGGGTAAACATTCTGAACAGCCGGAAATCAGACTTCAGGACCACACCTTCGGACAATTGCCCCCGTTAAGGTAAAGCGGAATATGGTGTGTATTTTGCATGGCTGTCACCTTGCTTCTTATGTCCCATATTTGTTTTGGTGAGAAAGTCATATCTCTTTCTTTGTCAAGTAAGGCGTGTTCGGACCGAGAAGGAGAAAAATTCATTGTGCATCAGCTTAAATGTGTCAATATTTTAAAATCTATAGATGGAGAGAAAACAGGAAGAATGTCAAAAAGCTAAGTATCAAACACATATCCGGTCAGGCAAAATGATGTGACACATTTGTAGATTAAATAAAAGGCAAATAAAGAAACAAACGGGTTTTTTATTTTTGAAAAGTACACAAAATGCCGTTTATTTTCTCCAAATAATGCCATTTTGCTTTGTTTCTTTATGATGTCATTGTTTTTCTTTTTTTTTTTTCAGTTGCTGCCATGAATTGGACGGGTGAGCATCGCGCTTTCGTTGTGGAAACGTTTATCAAAACGAACGAACCTGGAACTGCAACACAACGAACGTTCCGTTTGCACTTGAATCTTGGCAGACATGATCCCGTACCAGCTCGATACACGATCTTGTTATGGGTTACCAACTTCAGAACTACTGGATCTGCATTGAAACGAAAATTCAGTTCATACATCTTCGGCATCAGATAGCATTGACCGTATCCTAGCAACAGACCGCAGTTGCTCTTGAGACAACAACAGCCACCTTTGAGCCAGCAACAACCACCATTGAGCTGCACATGTTCAGTACCAGTCATACCACAATGGTCGTGAATTGCTCTTGTCTACCTGGGCCCAAATTGAGCATTCATTGCCGTTTTCGATGTCTCCCACTTCCAACACACTACCTGATTCAAAGTATCAGGCTTCCGATAAGCTTGCTGATGAGCTGATCATTTGAATCAGGAGAAGGGAGATATCGAAAACCGGCTGGATTGGAGCTCTCGAGGACCCGACTTGGGCACCCCTTACCTGAAGGGAATGACAAAATGGATTCAGTACCTCATATAATCCACACCGCTTTGGTTCTGCCCGCTTGGCTCGATGCATCTTGACACAAACCCACAAGTTGGGTGGAGAGTTGCGACCGCTCACTGCGGCGTTGCCTGCTTCAACTGGTAGTTGAGTGTCTTTCTCAAGGACACCTGGACATGGTCACAAGGCCCCCGGAATCGAACCCCCAACCCCTGGGTTTTTGCCATGCTCCCCCCCGTCCACATGTGTACACATAAAATAAAAGCACTTTTATTCTGTGCTTTATTTAGACTTCCTGGTCACTGGGAAGGCCATTCAGAGGGTATGGTTGGGCCAGATTGGACCCCGAGCTGTACTTTTCCCAGGTCCCAGGTCCACAAATTAAACATAGATAAATAAATCAACAGGTTTTAAAATGTGATTATTTCGGAAATGAACGCATTCGATGCCACATAATGAAGAGGATGTTGGCAAAATCCCATATTTCACAGTTGTTTTGTCGTTCCATTAAAATATTTATGTTCACTGGAAACAAATCTGTATTTGTATCCATATGGCCGCAGATGGTATGCCAGGTATTCCAGGGCATAGAGTTGAACAGCGTAAATGTAGTGAAAGGACACAGCAAAGTCTGAACAGCATCCTGGACCCTGGGGAAAGAGAACAAGAAAGGCATGACTGTTCCTTCTCACGATCAGAAAGAAATGCTCAATGAGGGGTGTCAAACTCAGTCGCACAGAAGCCCAAAAATGAAAGCACACTTCAGTTTTTGGGGCAAACAGGCTAAACATTTTTGAACGAAAACAAAATATTCTCCAGTCTCCAGGCATTAAAACTCAAACCAAGAAGAACCAAATTGTACATTCGTGCGATGGTTGCGTTGAGTGTAAATGGATGAATCATGCCGAGGGTGAAACGCTCAGCTGTTATGTTCTGAGCAACAGTGCTAACTCAATGTCAATGTCGCACACGGAGCCTTCAAAGCAGCCGACTTCCCGGCCTGTGCTCTCAAGCCGGTGACGCGGTTGATGGCGCATTTTCAAAGCCTGAGTTGGTGGGGCTGAAAGGGCGCAGTTGCCGCCACTGTTACAGAAATAATGATCTCAATCAAAATAACATCAGAAACACTCGTACTGCTATCTATATAAATTTGTGCCGGGAATATTCTTCAATGGCCGAGGATGGGGTTGGTTTTTGCAAACCTGACAAACATCTTTGGTGCCAGAACTCATCCGATTTTCCCACACAAAAAACATGCACACGCGCACACGCACACACACACACTTTCGAGCAGGGATGCCGTGATAGGCGCAGATGCACTCAAAGTTACCCACATTAAGCCTTACATGACGAGAATGCCATCTATCGAGTTCACGGAGTCACACACAGCATTGTTTTCATGCGTGGAGTTTGCATGGTTTTCAAAGTGCTTCTGTGGATTTTGTTTGTGGACTACTTCTTCCAACATTCTGGTAACATTTTATTTTTGATCAATGGAACAATGTGAATGGACATACAGACTATGAGAAACCTTTAATGAGTACACCTGCTCACGAACCACATAATCTGCCTCCTCTAAACACTTTAGCCAACATACGATATCATGCTTAGGACAGACAGCCTCACGGTTGCACAACTGGCATCACAATGAATGTCTC